CCTCGAGCTTGGATTATACAACTTAGCGTTATTTTCCATCACTAAAAGCCCCAGTTGTGCGAGTACTTAACTCTGAATAAGAGCCCATTTCAAACTTGAGCATTCAAACGGACTATCGTCTAATATCGGTTGCACAGCAATTCGTGAAGAGGCAACACCATCATGGTCTTCATACCTTCGCGTAGGATTGTTTGCATTTCTCGACTTCCTTAAAAGTGTGTATCCATATAGCACGATGCACAACAGTCACGGTAACAATAACAAAAGCAACTTAAAATAGAGCTTTCATAAGATACTTGACAAGTAATGCGAATCGTAGCAACTTAAGCATTAACTGCATGTTAATAGCACACCAACAAATTGAACTGGAATCAAACACATCAAAGAGAAATTGAAGCTATTTTTTTAAATAGTGCGGGCAAAATAAGCGATTTGTCTAACAGCAATTGATAGTGATGATAACAGATGGTAAAAGATGGTAAATTTAGATTATCTCCTAACTAATGTAAAAGTTTCTGATCCGCTCAAGGCTTAAAGCCTTGAGGCAAAATTAACATTTAGCTTCAGGCCTACTTGCAGGATACAAGTAGTATATCCTTATTTATGCATGGCTGACGGTATTTTTGTGCTATTCATTCTGCGAGTATGGTTTTTTGCAATGATTATAATTTGCACGACTTTGATCTTGCCTTATTCTACAGCATGTTAGCGGCGGCCGCTGCTGCTCATATGCACCTTCTATCGGCGGCTGCGGTTGCTGCTTCCTTGACTTCATCAGCAGCCGCGGCAGCTGCTGCTGTGGCAGCAGGTCGTTGTGCCGGTCGCGCCGACAATACCACCACCAGTAGCGCCAGTAGCAACAGCATCCCTGGCCGTCTCGTGAACGGGGGCGAGCGGAGCCGTTCCGGTTCTTTGTTGGCCTCTCCTAGGGCCTCTTCGTCTAGCGCTAGTGTGGCCTGTTGCGACGTCACGCGAGCTCATTCGACACAGGACAGCGGTATTTCTGGCTCTAGGGGCAGATCTTCTTCTTCCTCCTCTTATTCTACCGCTGCCGTTGCCTCGCTGAACAGCGGCCCAACCAAGGCTGGAGTTATGATGTCTGGTGTCCCACCTGGTGCCCCGGCCTCCAGACATTTTGGCCGTGGCCTCAGAACGCCATGCTGCCCTACGACTGGCCAATGGGCTCACTCGTTTTCCCCCGTCGCTTCACACTTTTCCCCGCTTGGGTAAGTAGCTATCAGTTATTGTTTCCGTCTTAGATAGCAAAAAAATCGGAGCCTAGAAGAGAGTTTTTCATCTACAAGCGAAACTATACTCATCCAGAGTCTGCCAAGCCAGTCGAATTGTGCATAATGTTTTTTTTATTTACATCCACTTGAACGAGCTCAAGTAAAAAGTTAAAAAGTCAATGTGCTTTAAAGATTGATTGTGGTGTTCTTTCACTATGATATAAGTATACCTTAAAATGACACTGTATATCAACTGGTTTCATCTTCCAGAATGGATCTCGAAGTATCGTCCCAACATCGAATAGCTTCGAAAATGCTTCCACTCCACTACACAGCCAT